GTTTTGATTTTCAGTCTCTTTTTAGTTATAGGACTTACACATCTGTCAATCATCTCCGCTTGCAATTGGAATGAACCCAGTGCTATGATTGGTCGAACTCTTCTTCTCTTGCTGTTGCTTGATTTGAGGACTGCGCTTGCAAATACGCGTCGCCAGGTTTTTGCGTAGTTTAGAGTGACAAATCGTACCAGCGTACTTTGAGGTCAAAATGCGTGACCACTACGCAAAATGCGTACATGTTGGCAGGTATGCTGTTGTCATTAAGTGTCATTCGGTAAATTATGACACTTTTTATGCAAAGTTGACATTGTTTAAATTGTCTTTGTTATGACAACTTGACATTAACAACGACAAAAAATGTCTGACATCTTTATAACTAGTCCAACGTGTTCCACTTTACTTGAGGACAAGTAAAATATTCATTACAGAGTTATGGTGTCATGACAACCAAAGTCAAAACCAACCACATATGACAGGGTAATGTAATGTTAACGCAAAGCTAAATAACTTCTTTAAGTTTGATAATTAGACCTGTTATGACATATTTGTGACAGGTTATGATTTCTTGGTTAATGTCAAGTTGTCATAATCAAGACATTTCTGTCTGTGTTAATGTCAAGTTTTCATAATCAAGACATTTCTGTCTAACTTCTAACTTTGCATTAGAAGTGTCATAATTTACCGAATGACACTTAATGACAACAGTCATAAACATTCATAAAGACTCCTTCATGTTCATGACAGGTGTTATGTCATGTTTATGACAGTGTCATGTTAGTCTTATGCACACCCCTTCAAATAAAGTGTTACCATTTTGGTAAATCCTTGTGAAACGTTTAATTGTAATTGAATTAATTTAAAGACAAAGACAATTTTTTCATTAAACCACCGTTAAAAAAAAAAAAAAAAATTTAGCTTTCTAAACCGAATACGTCAAAACCATGGGAAAACCAAACCGTCAGTTTTGCGTATCGTTACACCCCTATGAAACATGAAAGACGTTCTGTTTTTTCGTACATCGTTGTCGTGTAAATGTACCCCGAGTTCAAGCATCTGTTTCGAAAGAGATAAAAAGGTACTTACAGCTTTCCCTGACAATGGATTGATGAAATCAGCCCAGTATCCTCCTCTCCACAGAGTGAAGCAGATTTCTTTAGCACCGCTGACAAACTGCAACAAGACGTCACATGACACTGAAGACATTACTGAAGTAATGATGCTGAAAATCCAGCTTTGAATTACAGGAATAAATTATATTTTAACAAAATAAAATTGAAAAATTAAACAATATTACAGGTTTTACTGTATTTTTGATGCAATCATGTCAGCCTTGGTGAGCAGAAGAGACTTCTGCTTTTAAGACATTTTTAAAAATTGTACCTACCCCAAAATGTTATATATTTATCTTCAATATCTTACTCTTGTATTTTTTATTTTTTTGTACTTCTTACTCTTATCGATGATTATCATTGTAATACATAAATAATTCTGTCAATTAACATCAGCATACAAAATATGCTATATGTATACACTATAATATAAAAAAGTATTAATACAATAATAATATATTAATAAATAGTTGGGGGCCTTAAGCACATTTTCGCGCAAATTCATCTAAAAGCGCCAAATTTGGCACAGATGTAGCTCAGGTCATACCGACATGATTTAGCTAGGGCGCCGGAGCCAGCGACCCTCGGGGCCAAGATGGCGGCCAAATCCAATATGGCCGCTGCCCGAAAAGGGTTCTGGCTATAACTTTTGAACCACATGAGTTACAAATACAAACTTTATATGTTTTTCAGCTTAATTGATCATGGGAAACACATAGAAATGTTTATATTTATGACCCAGTATATCTGGACCCCTTGATCCTCCAATTCCAATATGGCCGCTGTCCAAAAAAGCATTTTGGGCTGAAGAATGGGGCCTTACATCCCATTGTTCGTGCAAATTCATATACAAGCACCAAATTTGGCACAGATGTAGCTGAGGGCATAGTGAAATGATTTAATCAGGGCGCCCAAGCCAATGATCCCTGAGACCAAGATGGCGGCCAAATCCAATATGGCCGCCGCCTAAAAGGGATTCGACTATAGCTTTTGAGCCAGATGAGATACAAATACAAACTTGATGTTTATTTTACCTTTTCTGGCTATGGGAAATCCATATGAATACTTACATTTATGATTGGGTATATCAGGACCCCCCAAATTCCCTAAATACAATATGGCCGCTGTCCGAAAAAGGTTCAAATTTTGAACCAAATGCGCTACAAATGAGAATGTGGTGTCTGTTTTATGTTTATTGATCACAGGAAGTCCATTGGCATATTTATATTTATGCTTGTGTATGTCTGTATTCTTTTCAAGACTGTGGTTGAAAATCCTTTTTTTAACTTTTAAGGTTATTCTCAATGTTTATTAATTTCCTTATAAAAGTGAAATGCTTTTCAGTGTACCACAGGTGAATACATTTCAAAGTATAAGAAAGAATAAGACACATTATTATTGCAAAGAAATATTTATATTGTCAAATTGTTAAAAGAATAATTTAGTCAATTTGTCCAAAACTCTTAAAGGTTTGCTTAGCATAACAAAAAAACAGCAATAACATGAAAAAACAACAGTGAATTCTCATGGTTTATCACATAAATTATCATTATAATCACCGGATCTCTCATCGTCTCCACCATCATTGTGTGTAAAACACCCTCACATGCACATATAGAAGTGCAACGAACTCCGGCTTTACAGCACTTGCAGTGCCCTCTACATGCTGTCTTGCAGTCACAGTGGAGGAGATATGGTGCAGGCTTTGACTCCGAGATTAGTCCAGTAAGGTTCCCAAGTCTTGCTCGTAGAGTCCCTATACCATCCCCATGCATTGAAATCTGGGATATCTTGCTGGACAGCGGCTGCCTGATTCCAATAGAAGCTGGCCTTCAGCAGTGCTCTTTTGATGTGCTGAATCAGTGCAGCTTGGGGTGGGAGGCAGGTTCTCGGGAGATTTGGTACCATTCAAGAAAAGGTGATGTCTAGCTTCATCTACACGGCTGGAACCACAGCTCTTGCTGTACATGATGATGACCATACGCTCCAGTCTTTGGACATGGACGTCATTGTTGATCTCTTCAGGCTCAAAGGTAGGGGTAACCAGGGATTCTGTGAGATCTGGTGTTGCCTCCAAAGCTACCCATGCTGGGGCCAATGGCCATAAAAAGGCATTTGTCCGGACTGTCGACAGCGATGTTGTCATCCTTGCCACAACCTCAGCCTTCCTGGGCCATGGGAAAAAGAGTGCATGGGCAGCTTGGGAGGCAACACCAGATCTCACAGAATCCCTGGGTACCCTTACCTTTGAGCCTGAAGAGATTAACAATGACGTCCATGTCCAAAGACTGGAGCGTATGGTCATCATCATGTACAGCAAGAGCTGTGGTTCCAGCCGTGTAGATGAAGCTAGACATCACCTTTTCTCGAATGGTACCAAATCTCCCGAGAACCTGCCTCCCACCCCAAGCTGCACTGATTCAGCACATCAAAAGAGCACTGCTGAAGGCCAGCTTCTATTGGAATCAGGCAGCCGCTGTCCAGCAAGATATCCCAGATTTCAATGCATGGGGATGCTATAGGGACTCTACGAGCAAGACTTGGGAACCTTACTGGACTAATCTCGGAGTCAAAGCCTGCACCATATCTCCTCCACTGTGACTGCAAGACAGCATGTAGAGGGCACTGCAAGTGCTGTAAAGCCGGAGTTCGTTGCACTTCTATATGTGCATGTGAGGGTGTTTTACAAACAATGATGGTGGAGACGATGAGATATCCGGTGATTATAATGATAATTTATGTGAGAGACCATGAGAATTCACTGTTGTTTTTTTATGGTATTGCTGTTTTGTTTTGTTTTTTTTTTGTTTTTTTTTTGTTATGCTAAGCAAACCTTTAAGATTTTTGGACAAATTGAGTATATTATTATTTTAACAATTTGACAATAAATATTTCCTTGCAATATTAATGTGTCTTATTCTTTCTTATATGATGACATTTATTCACCTGTGGTACACTGAAAAGCATTTCACTTTTATAAGGAAATTAATAAACATTGAGAATAACCTTAAAAGTTGTGATTAAAAAAAGGATTTTCAACCACAGTCTTGAAAAGAATACAGACTTACACAAGCATAAATATAAATATGCCAATGGACTTCCTGTGATCAATAAACATAAAACCATATGCTCATTTGTAGCGAATTTGGTTAAACATTTGAAAACAAAACCCTTTTTCGGACAGCGGCCATGTTTTATTTAGGGAATTTGGGGGTTCCTGATATACCCAATCATAAATGCAAGTATTCATATGGGTTTCCCAAAGCCAGAAAAGGTAAAGTAGACATCAAGTTTGTATTTGTATCTCATCTGGCTCAAAAGCTATAGTCGAATCCCTTTTAGGCGGCCATATTGGATTTAGTGAATTGGGGGGTCCTGATATACCCAATCATAAATGCAAGTATTCATATGGATTTCCCATCGCCAGAAAAGGTAAAATAGACATCAAGTTTGTATTTGTATCTCATCTGGCTCAAAAGCTATAGTCGAATCCCTTTTAGGCGGCGGCCATATTGGATTTGGCCGCCATCTTGGTCTCAGGGACCATTGGCTTGGGCGCCCTGGCTAAATCATTTCAGTATGCCCTCAGCTACATCTGTGCCAAATTTGGTGCTTGTATATGAATTTGCGCGAACAATGGGATGTAAGGCCCCATTCTTCAGCCCAAACTGCTTTTTTGGACAGCGGCCATATTGGAATTGGAGGATCAAGGGGTCCAAATATACTGGGTCATAAATATAAACATTTCTATGTGTTTCCCATGATCAATTAAGCTGAAAAACATATCAAGTTTGTATTTGTAACTCATGTGGTTCAAAAGTTATAGCCGGAACCCTTTTCGGGCAGCGGCCATATTGGATTTGGCCGCCATCTTGGCCCCGAAGGTCGCTGGCTGCGGCGCCCTAGCTAAATCATTTCAGTATGACCTGAGCTACATCTGTGCCAAATTTGGCGCTTTTAGATGAATTTGCGCGAAATTACCTATTTATGTGCTTAAGGCCCCCAACTAAAAACAGTCAAATGTATAAGATGTTTTATATTTAAATAAATATGTATAATTAAAAAATATGCATTTATAACAATATGTAATTTTCCAGTCAAACTCACGTGATCCAGTAGTTCCTCCTGATCTCTGTTCAGTTCCTCTGTTCCCAACTGGTTCTTTTGTGTTACCGTGACGACAGTGATGGGACTCATAGGCATCACTGGGAAAAACAGCTCTAACTCTGTCAAAAATAGGATTTGGTTATTAAAACACTGTTCTAGTACCTTTTAAAGATGTTCTACAAGTATGTGACATGTGCGTACCTTTCTTCAGCAGCTCTGGACAGGAATGCATTGAACACTCCACATTTGACTGACTGAAATAGTGTTCAGCTTTACTGACTCTCTGTGCCATGAGAGAAACTTCTTTACCCTAAACATCACAAATCAACTCAGTCATCGTAAGAATAAACAACAAAACTGAAGAGTTTTTACCAATGATTTTTTAAAACGGATTTTTACCTGATATTCATTGACGAACTGTGCGAGTATGAACTCGTGCCTCTCTGCACTAGACGGGGTGGTTAAAACATCCGGGACCGTGCGGTGGACCGGGACTTTCATCTGTAACTCGGTACCTTTGAGGTGACAGTCGAAACCCACGTTGCCTGGCAACTGGAACCTTTGATCTTGAGGCCCGAACGGACCCATCATCTCATCTGGCCATACTGTTGTAGGACCTGTCAGAAAGACCATTAACAAATATGTTAAATATAATAATACAAATATATTAGTATAATAAAATGTAGCCATTTATACACACACATACATGCATATATATATATATATATATAAAATGTGTATAGATATAATAACAAGATATACAACTATCTACCGGTACCCTATATTAAACATTTTATGTAAAGCAAAAAAATATTAATAAAATAAAAACATTGTAATAGATTTCAAATACATAAATATAGTAATATAAATGTAAAGATATATCCATATTACATTGTAATAGATTAATATTAAACAATTAAATGTTAAAAATATTAATAATAATATATATATATATATACACCGGTCAAAAGTTTTAGATCAGTAAGATTTTTTATGTTTTTAAATGAAGTCTCTGCTGCTCACCAAGGCTGCTTTATTTCATGGAGAAAAAAAATGACAAACAGTAATATTGTATGAATGGAGGTTGGAGCAGGCTTCACTCAATGGTTACACCTCAATTTATTTTAAGAGTGCTGGCCTAATAATTAGAGTACATGGAAGAAAGAAGGCCGCACCTTGCATAGACGGTTTATTTCACACAAACGCGATAAACAGTAATATTGTGAAATATTATGACAATTTAAAATGACCGTTTTCTATTTTAATATATTTTAAAATGTAATTTGAAAGCTGAATTTTCAACATCATTACTTTCGCTATTTACACATCAGTTTTCAGTGTCACATGATCCTTCAGAAATCATTCTAATATGCTGATTTTATGCTCAAAAAACATAAATTATTATTTCAATGTGGAAAACAGTCGTGTACCATTTTTTCTCCCAAAATTCTATGATGAATAGAAAGTTCAAAAGAACAGCATTTATTTAAAATATGTCTTTTCTTTTCTAACATTATAAACGTCATTACTGTAACTTTTGATCAATTTAACTCATCCTTGATGAATAAAAGTATTTTCTAATTTCTTTACCCCAAAAATAAAAAATAAATTCTTACTGACCCCAAACTTTTGAATGGTAGTGATTAATGTTACAAAAGCTTTCCATTTCAGATCAGTTCTGTTCTTTTGAACTTTCTATTCATCAAAGAATCCTGAAATAAACAGGTTTTCACATGTTTATTTCAGCATCATATTATAATAATTTCTGTAGGATCATGTGACACTGAAGAGTGGAGTAATGATGCTGTAAATTCAGCTTTGATCACAGGAATGAATTACACTTCACTATATATTCACATAGAAAACCGCTGTTTTAAATTGTAATAATATTTCACAATATTACTGTTTTTTTGGGGGGTTTTTTTGTATTTTTATCAAATAATTGCAGCCTTGGTGAGCAGAAGTGATTTCTTTTAAAAACATAATATCTTACCGATCTAAAACTTTTGACCGGTTGTGTATATATTGTATAATGGCCCCTCCACACGCATATAAATAAATATAAATCACTTTCATGTAACAGAAACCTTCATAATGACCTGAGTTTTGAGATGGTACAGATATATAGGGCTCATCTGATCCAGAAGAACCTGCGGCTGAAAACCCTCTGACAGCCACGATCCTCTGAAGCAGTGTGTGAACCACAGACGACTGGCTGACCTGTCTAACCCTCCTGCACAGCACCTGCATTATTCAACACAAACACACACACACACACACACACACACAGTGTTACACACACATCAGACTCATCGAATGATCAGATGATGTTGAGTGATACTCACACTCGCCATTATGCTGTGCACAGTTTCACTTCACTTCAACCTGCAAACACAAACAAATATAGCAAACATTCAATTTAAGGACTAACTTATTTCATATTAAAATATGTATGAACAAATAAAAAAATGTGGTCCCACTTTATATTACTATGTACTTACATTTAAAAATAAGTACAATGTACTTATTGTGCTCATGTTGTATTGTAAATCACTTTTGCTGCTATTGAGGTGTGATACGGGTAAGGTTGGGGACAGGTGTGGTGGTATGGGTAGGTTTAAGGGTGGGTTTAAGTGTAAGGGGATGGGTCATCTGTGTAATTACAGATGTAATTACATAACTTAATTACATGCTGGTATTTTTAAAACATAAGTACAATGTAAAAACATGTATGTACACAATAAGTCCATTGTATCAAATTATTAATTTCAATGTAAGTACATGGTACTTAAAGCCACTTAATATAAAGTGGGACCAAAAATGTCATGTAAAATACAACAATAAATGAATCATAGACAAGTATTATCTAAGATTACATAATTTATGTAAATTACATAACTGTTTTAAAAAGGTTAAATACGTATAATACAGTAACTTGCAAATATTTTAGACTTGAGTGTTTCTATATTTAATTGTATTAAATATTTTACTCAATGAAAACACAGTCCTTCTTAAAAAAAAAAAAGGCTTTGTTTTTGTTGATTGCAAAAACCTGCTCTTCATAAATTGCAGTTAAATGTAAAACTATATCAAATGCACATGAATATGAGTAAAGACTGTCATGGCAGAGGTTAATTGTTCTTTTGTTTTCACCATGGATCAGCTTGTAAACAACTCAAACAACACTGTTATGATCCGCTCACTTTCACTTCAAACTCAATTAAAGCACAGCTAATACGTGACATTAGCGTCAAGCTGTCATCGACACACTCTTCTACTATTACAGATCTATATGACACATGTTTAATAGTGATGTGTCGTGTATTTTACCTCGTTTTCAAGGTAAAGGACAACGTGTTCCACACTCACTCACCCTGTTTGTCTTCCAGGTTGATCTGCTGATCATCACGTCCGCACGATGAGCGTCATGACGTCATAACGGAGCGCCGCGTAGTACAAAAGCAGTGACAAAATAAATAAATAAATAAATAAATAAAGATATAAATAAAATCATATCCAGTATATATAATCTATATAAATATATTGTAACACTATAACGTCAAACACATTTAAATATAAACGTACTAAAAATATATGATATGAATAAATATAATGTTTTATAATAAATAAACAGTACAGCAAAACATTCTAAAAGTACCATAAAACAAAATTACAATATTGTTATTATAATATGTACTCACACAATTTGCAGTTGTGAAAATGAACTTTTTTCACTACTTTAGATATTAAAAAGTAAACGACTTAGCATTTCACTATAACTTTTATTTGTGTTGCCCTTGGCATAAATTGTTATTATTTTCCCGTATACACTTCTCATATATGCATATTTGTTTTTAACATGTTTGTACACATTTTTTATATTTTCTGTAAATTAAAAACAAAAGCTGGAAACCGCAAACGCATGCGTTAACCGATAACGTCCTCTAGGTGTCAGTACAAGCACACGCTTGTCATTCTGCAACTGTTGCCGAAGCCGAAAATATCTAATATGGCAATGGCATCAAGTAATTGCAGACATAAACAGCATAAAAATAAATCATCAGGTACCAAAAGAGATAAAGACAGAAAGAAAAGAACGGAAGGCTGTCATATAAGGTGAATGTCGCTTCATTGAAAGGTTATAGAGGGCGAGTGTGTCAGGTGGGCAGAAAAAGCCTGTTTGAAGGGGCAGTGTGTGTCTCCCTGACTACTGTGACGTGTTCTCAGAACAGAGTTTGAAATGGAGTGAGGTTTGGGCCAGAGGCTTTTGCTGTCTGTCTCTCTCTCTCTCTCTCTCTCTGTGTCTGTCTTGCACACATACACACACTTGCATCTGCATCCCTAGCAGCCACCATCTGGCATCTGGACTGGTCTTTACTTTGCGACGGGGTGACCAGACCATCTCTCTCTGCTGCACTGCAAGGTCAACATGAAAACGCTCACGACAGCATTTTGCGTTTATTGTGAATTTATATTCACTAGAAACTACTGAATGGGTTGAAAACATAGCCAGTACAGATGTACGGTTCGTTTAATGGGATAGTTCACCCAAAAAAGAAAATGGCATCTATTTGGCAACTCCCTCTCATGTCAAGACTCAGATCGTTCATATTCGGAACACAAATTAAAGGAGTAGTTCACTTTTGAAAAAAACACCCCCATGTCATCCAAGATGTCCATGTCATTCTTTCTTCAGTCGAAAAGAAATGAAGGTTTTTGATGAAAAAATTCCAGAATTTTTTCCATATAATGGACTTCAGTGGGAACCAAACGGTTCAAGGTCCAAAAGACAGTTTCAGTGCAAACTGCAAACTGTTCAAAGGGCGGGCTTTAAATGATTACAGATGATGAATAAGGGTCTTATCAAGCGAAACGATCGCTCATTTAAAAAAAATAATAATAAAGTTTAAGTTTTATAAGCTCAAATGCTCACCTTGCTCTGGTCACATGCAAAACCTACAGCAAGTGCGTGTTGCTAAAGTGTTAGAAGTAATTTTAGATGTGTTGCTGCTAGTGTTTGCTAAGTTGTTTTGAGTGGTCTTAGGCTTGTTGCAAAGTGATTGCAAGCAGGATTACATAAAATATAGTGCAGACTTCTGGGAACGTATTTGAGTCCAATGATCAATGAATCATTCATTAAAACAAATGAACTGATTCATTCAAATCAATCAGAAACTCATCAACATCAAGCATTAGCAAAAACATTTTGACAAAAAGAAAGAAAAAACATGAGAAAGGTTTTTAAAAAAAAAAGATATACCAAGGCTTGATTAAGGCCAGAGCAAAAATATCACTGCAATAATATAATTCAGAGCTTTTGCCTGCTGTGCTCAAGTCTCATAACACACGACACGGGAGCAGCGCTAGTTCAAATCTGAATCGTGATCAGAATCTTAATTACTTGGCATTTGTCTGCAGCAGATATTAAACTGTATATGATTATATCTTCCTTCTCATCACACTAGAAACTCCATCATGGAGTCTGAAGGACATTTTTAAGCTGTATGACATTGTAAATAAAACGAATAACGGATTTAGCTGCTTCTGTGTGCAACATAATTCTCGTTTGTAATGGCCACATAATCACAATCCAATCAGTCCTGATGGATAACTTTAAAATGCCCACATTCTCCACCATAAATATCCAGTTTCATGCAAAAATATGTCACATTATAGAAGTAAAATGGGTGTGCCATGTCTGTAGTATGTTCATTTCCAAATGGACTGATCTCACAGACAAAAGTGTGTATTTAGGTCACTGACAGTTTTGACTTCAAACTCTTCGTATTTCTGGTCTGAGGAGTGTAGCAGAAGCGCAGTAAGTCAGAACTTGGCTATTTATTGCTGTGCTGTCAAGCTCAGAGAGCCCCAGTGCCAAGAATCAGCACTTTTCCAGGGCCGTTTCATTTCTCTGCCTCGTCCTCCCTCTTTTTTTCTCTCAGGAGAGATGGTAGGGGGCTGTTGGAGCCTCATTAACTCGCCTGATTTGATTTTTTGCGGCCCTCAGAGGAGCGCGATGGTCGCTTGCTGTGAGAACCGACTGGATGTGTCGCGGCAAAACTCACATGCACCACGGAGCTGCTTGAGAACTTTCAGGATAAGACTAATGTTGGTTTCACAAGACTGAAAACCACCTTTCCATGTCATTACAGGTAAACGATGCAATCTTAATTCCTATTCACCCCATACTAATAAAAGTTCAACCGCAGCGGGTCTTTGAACCAAAGCTGACTGACAGGAAACGAGTCTTTGCTTATAATCTTTCCCCTCGGCAACATGTGCTTTCTAGAAAAGAAAAAGAACCACATTCCTCATTGTCTTTCCACACCCTGACTTGTTTAACCCTTGACAAGAAACTCTTGCGCTCTTGGGGATATTTGGAAGCTGTCGGTCTCAGCTAGGCCACTTGAATGCTTCTTGTTAACACAAAACGGAAACGTTCTACCTTAGATAAATGATCCCCGTTCACACGGATCCACGAAAACGACTAAAAACGCTGGATTATGCTGCCAGGCCAGTAGATGGCGGTGTCATTTTGTAAAGAAACACGACGCACTTATAGACCAAGGGGGTAATCCCATATATATCTATATAAAGGCTAGATGTCTCACGGCGGAGTATTTATCGTCATCACCGGTGGCCATCTTGTCACAGACAGGCTTTCTGGCGGGCTCTGTGGTATCTGATGTAAGAAATACTCTTATCTCGTTGAAATCTTGACGGATTTACGAACGGTTTGGTTTCTTACAAACGTTAATAACATGGCTATAATTCTGGATGATTATACACTAGTGTATAATCATCCAGAATTATAGCCATGTTAATCATAACTACATCTCTGCCGTTTATAACAAACCAGACCGGTAGAAAATTGAGCAAGTTACGGTGATTTAAAAAGTACATGCACCATTAAAACAATGTTACCAGTGAGCAAGCTGCCTGTGACAAGATGGCCGCCAGGTGCAGACGTCAACCTCCATTGGCCAGCAGCGCGGACGAGATATCTAGCCTTTATATAGCTAGATATCTATGGGTAATCCATCGACCGGAAGTTGAAGCCGGCCGAGCGCCACCATCTTGTAGCAGAACTTCACTTGCGTTAGCATTTCCATTGACTCCCATTCATTTTGGCGTCACTTTGATGGCAAATAACTTTACATCTGAGGCGTTTAAAGACTCCATTTGTCCTTTATTTATTTCTAAAGAAACACGACAATGTATAAAATGCTCCATTACCTTGTAGCTTATGTTATGGCCCCGTAGGAGCAGTTTTTTGTAAAAGTAGGCTAACGATTGCGTCATAACCAGGCGACTCTCTGTCGCACAGTAGAGAGATTACCGTATGGACAGGAGGAGAAGCTCGCGGGCAATCGGGGAAACGTGGAGGCAAAATGACAAAATAATTCATCAGAATACCTAGCAAAATTGTCTCCTTCTCCTAGCTCATGGACAGCTCCTACTCACACTCTCCACCTCTGCAAGTTTCAGAAGGGAATGATTCAGATTTCTCATGCCACAGCACTAAGACAGACGGGTTGCTCACGTCACATCTACGTCGTCAAGCTCTGTTTGAGTTGGTTTGAGTCTGCGCATCCCAAATTTTTTTTTTTAAAAATCGCTAAAAATGGGCTTCACTTGTCTCAGGTGGCTCTGTCCACTTCTTATACCGTCTATGTTATAGACTGAACATGTAATATGTGTGCGCATGACACCGTTTCACAAATTTTTGCTCTCGTTCTTTACACGAAGGTGAACATCTTGCACTTTGAAACCCGATTTCAAAAGTTTGCGTATTCAGAACGCATAAAAAGTGTTTAGTTGAAAACGGTGTTGTGTAAACCGCAAAATTGTGGTTTAAAAATAAACATTCTGACAAACAAGCTTTATTGAGAGAGTTTCCTCAGCATAAACTGGACATAAAACAGTTCTTTGCTAGTCAGGACTTTATAAGCTCTGTGGAAAAAGCTGCTGTCAGTTCAATTTGTGAAAAGAGCCGTGTAGCTGCTCCAGGGGTTGTCAGTTCAGCTGGTACCCAGAAGACCTCTCTCTGTCCTGGGGAACACAGCCCTCTGATCTGTGTGGTGGGTTTTGTTCTTTCCCTGCTTTGATTCTGAAGAAAAGAAACGTGTATTTAATTTGAATACTCTTAACAGTGAGGAACAGATACAGTACAATGTGAGAGGAGGTATGAAAGGAAATATTTAGCATATGATTATACTACCCTCATTCTGAAAGTGGTTACAAAGTGTTAAAATATTATTGCTAAGCCTGTCCAACGCAGCCAAAACACTTTTGGAGAGAGATAATTTAAGTAATAGAAACACAAAAATGACAAACTCATGCAATGCATACAATGAATAATTCTGCTGTCATATGTTTTGTACCCTGATCATAACTTTTCCTTCACG